CCTGGGAGTAACACCAGTCCTCTGGAAGACTTCAGGACACTCTCAAAGCACCACTTCCTCCAAGGAAGCAGGTCTGACCTACACCTGTCATAGTTCCCTTTTATTTCCTGGCCTGTAAGAACCCTGCCCTGTGTCCCCTGTTGCTTCTGAACACCAGGCTGGACACAGGAGATGCCAGGTACAAACTGTAGCTAACAAGGCCTAGTGTCCAGCCTGGGCTCCACCCTAGTCTTCACTTCAATTCAGCAGACAAGACCACAGGCATAGACAGGCCTCAATGTGTTTTCTCCACACCTCAGTTTCCCCAAATACAGAAGAGAATGCCCACTGATCCAGCTTCCTTCTCTTCCTGGAGGAGGGGGGTATATGTGGAAGATCTGTTCAGGTGAAGGAACAGATCCTCTAAACTCTGGGGCTCAGAATTTGAAATAGATCTCATCCCTATGTGGTCAGCAGCTCCTCCTCATCTAGCCAGTCAGGGCCCTAGGGGGTGATCACCTGTCCAGTGGTGTCCCTGGGGAAGGCTCCCAAGGCAGAGATGGCACTCCCTCCTTCCTGGCCTGGAAACTAGAACTGGCATCTCCTGGAAAGCCCCTTACAAAAACACAACCCCACAGAGCTGCCAACCTCTACAGCCTCCAGGGAAAAAAGTCTCTCTCATCTTATTTCACAGACAGACAAAAAGAAGCTATGGTGGTTTGAATGACATGTCCCCTGTAGGCTCAAGTATTTGAACACTTGGGTCCCCAGTTGGTGGTGCTGTTTGGGGAGGGTCATGGAACCTTCAGGAGGTGTGGCTATGCTGGAGGAAGCCCATCACTGCGGATGGGCTTTGAAGGCATATGGTCTCTCCCATTTCTAGTCTGTCCTGCTTCCTGTGCCTGCCTGAAGAAGATGTAAGCCCTCAGCTTTCTGCTCTGGCTGCCTCCTGCCATGCCTCCCCTTCCATGATGGACTTGGAACCTGCAAGCCAAACAAACTCTTCCTTTTATAAGTTGCCTTGATCATGGTATCACAGCATGATACCATTTCCAATCCTATTTCTCTTACCCTCAGTTCTGTACCCACATCTCACCAGGCCACCTCAGACCCCAGTTAGGCTTTCAAGAACTAAGCTTAAAGCTGCAACTCAGTGTTCAAGGTAGGATCAGAAAGAGGCCAGCTTGTCTGTACAGCCCCATTGAGCTCTCTGCCCTTAAAGAAGCAGGGATTCTAGGCAATGACAAGGGCAATGCTAAACCAAGAGATGACATTCTAGCCAGCTTTTGTACTGGAAGCACAGAGCTCCCCAGCACCATGAAACTAGTGTGCATGAAACTCAACCACTTGGCCTGGGCCCAGAGCCCATCCCAGAAGAATAGATAAGGCCAGGAGAGAAACTTGGGTAGCCCACCTCAAGCCCAATAATCCTTCTGCCTTAAAGGGTATCACTCCCAGGCCAGGCATCCCTACAAGGTAGGAAAAGTCCTTGTTAATTGAGAAGCTCTTGGCTGGTCCAAATCTAAGAGGCATGTGAGAAATGGCAGAGTGGCCTGAACTCCAGAGGGAGGTAGTTTGAGTTCAGACCTCATTCTGCCACTATTAGCTATAGGACTGTGCCTTCAGTCTACCTAATAAAATGGAACTAAAAGTGACCATGTAAGCAGCTAAGAGCATTAAAGGAGCTAGTGTCTACAAAGTCCTTAGAACAGTGCCTGGTGCCCACTGAGTACACCAGGACCTTGCCCCCAGCCACTTGCCCTCAACCATATTTCCCCTACCCAGGATGCTTTCTTTGCTCCCACCTATGCCCAGTTCATGGCTTTTCCTAGGTATCCTAGCCTCACCTCAGATTTGAACTGTTAGCCCTTAGTTTCAGTACTCAACTTACAGTGTGACCTCTTGGTTCATCCCAGGTTACCCTGTCAAGAGCCCAGATCCTCTTCCTCCCCCTGGTTCTCCCCCTTTACTCTACACCATTCAACAGTCTTCTGACTTTGTGCAAGCTGAAGATGAGGATTCATAGAAAGGCACTTTCCCAGCCCCAGAGTCTTCCTCCTCTTGACTCCCTGTCCCCCTGGGCTGAGCATTCAGCAACCACCCAAGGGAGTGAGCGGAAATAAATCCCAGGCTATCCCCATGTCCTGAATTGGAGAATCTGCTTCCTACCTACCCACTACCCACTGTCACATACACACACATGCCCCTGTGTTGACCCTGCCTGGATTTCTACCCAAGAAAGAAAAGAAATCCCTACCCCCACCACCACATGTCTGGCCTCCCCAGTGTCCCCCTGCCAGAAATAAATGTCCTCAAGTTACCCATACCTTCTCTGCTTCCCCTTTCACATCCCACTGGCTGCCTCAAATTCTCACAGTAATCAATACAACTGCTTTTGTAGAAACAAAATTAAAATCATCAGGGTCATTTGAAGGCTACAGGAGGCTCCTGTGCTAACAGCAATATCCATCTCTTTCTTCCTAGCCCAGCCCCATCTTTGTGGCTCCAGATCTCCTGAGTATGAGTTACCGATCAGACACTGTGCTAGATGCTCCAGATATAGCAATGGGGCAGTCAGTCAAGGTTCTAGCCCTTGAGAAGCCAAAGTCAAGACAACTGTAACAGATGGTTATGAACTCATATATACAATGAAGAAAATAAGGCAAGTTCTATGATGAATTCCAAGAGAGGCCTTCTACATATACTGGGTAGGCATCTAAGAAAGGTATATTTAAATTTAGACTGAAAAATAGAAACAAAACAAGCCCAGGAAAAAGCACTGGAAAATCTTCCAGTCAGGGAAGGCATCACAAGCAAAGGCTCTGGGGCAGAAAAAAGGATGTTGGAGAGAGAGAGGTGACTCTAATGTGTCTACTGGGGGAAAGGGTCAAATAAAGCTGGAAAGTCATCAGTGGCCACATGACAGAGGGTCTGATAGGCCAAAGGAAAGCTTTGAGATTTTATTCGAGTGTAATAAGAAGCCATCAAGGAATAAAATGATCTGATCAAAATGTTCTATGTTATTCTTGCTACACTGTTAAGAATAGATCCAAAGAAGGTAAGTGCAGGCACCGGGAGACAGCTACCACAGCATGTAGGTAAGGCTTAAAAGGTGGCGTGGCATGGGGCTGTAGCCTGAGACAGTAACAATGGACTCAGAGCATGGACAATGGACCTGAAACAGACTTTGTGAAAAGAACCAAAAGGCCTTGTTCTGGGACTGGATGTGAAAAGGGGCGGGAGAAAGGAATTGGTGCTACCTGGCTTCCTATTTTAAAAGATGGGTGGATTACAAGCCTCATTCAGATGGCAGGGCCTGGGACAATTCTGTCCCAAGTAGTGTCAGGGTTCTGCTTCACCCACATTAGTCTTCTGTCATCCAAGATATGATAAATCATCAGGAGTGTGGTAGGAGCCAGCAACTGGGGCTAGAGACAAATCTACTTAAAATCATGAGCATGAAATCACTTTATGTTTATAAATTAATGCTTGGTTTTTAAAATCATAAGAATGAAAACTGGGGAGTGAACAGAGGGGATGGTAATAAGTAAAGGCAGATGAAGACCCAGCCCTGGGGCCCTCCAACATTTAAGGATTGAGTTAAGGGGTTTCCTGAAACCAGGTTAAAGCAGAGACAGCCAGGAAGGAAGAAGGAGAAGCCAGGAAAGGATACAGTCTAGGACAGCACTTTCAAGAACAAGCAAGGTGGGCAAAGGCTTGGAGGGGCACATCACTGGAGACCCCGGCTGGGTGGATTCGCAAGGAGGTGGGACTGCAGAAGAAAGAGGTGCAGCTTAGGGGCACCTGTAAAGACAGCTCTCAAGAAAAGGAGGGGCTCTGGAATGGGAAGGGGAGCAAAGACCTCCTGGGAAAGAACGAAGTCCTTGAAATACCAGGGCCCTAGAGGAGGCATGGACCGGCAGGGACTGCGATGCTCCTTCCCCGTAAGAGGAAAAGGGCAGAAGTTGGCAGAACGCAAATATAAGGGCCTGCCCTGAACACACTTTCGTTTGTACACCTTCCTGTCCTCCGTTCACGCACGGTCCTGGAGACCTCAACTCAGCACCTGCTGTTTCTTCCACGCTCGGTCCAATGGCTCCCAGACTGGACCATGATGTGCCACACCAGCACGTTCCTCCGGCAACCTGTGGGCATCGCTGGTCAGGAGTGCCAGCCACTGCGCTTACTTCGGGGCCATGCCTGCTGCGGGTGAAAGATCCTAAAGGGTCCACGGGACGGACCGCTCACCTGAGCGCCCCTTCCCCAGAAAGTGACTTCGATTCGCTCCCCCCTCGGCGAGCCCCTAGTCGGCCCTCCAATAGCTGCTCCCCATTCCGCCCCGGCCTTCCAGGGAGACCCCGCGGACACCAGCGTGCGAAGAGGACAATGTCGCCAGGTCCCGGCAGACGCCCGGGGCTGCCCTCTCCTCGCCTCCCCAGCGCCCACCCTCCCGGCCACCCGAGCTCCAGCGGAGCGTCCGCGCCGGCTTTGTCTGCGCCGCCACCGAGCACGCAGCCCCGGCCCGAGGGTCGCGGCCGCCCCGGGCCACGCCACCTCCGCCCACCGCCGGCCTCCCGGGCTGAGCGCCCGGCCCCGGAGCAGCTGGAACCCCTGGCTTCCGCGGCGGCCGCAGCCTGCTCTCACGCCGCCCATACCTTTCCCTGCTGAGCCGGGGAAGTGAGTGTCCGCGAGCGGCCTCGGCCTCCGCCTCCCCGCCTCCGCCAGCCGCCGGGCTTCCTCCTCTAGCCGCCGCCGGGACCGTAGGGGCCCGAGCCAGCCGCCGCGGCCTGTGTGGGGCCCCGCTCCGCCTCGCGTCCCCGGCCCACCCCGCCGGTGCACTCCGCCTCCGGGACGCGCCGAGCTCCTCCCCGGGCCCGCCCCACCGGGGGCGGGGAGGCCCCGGGCCACAGCTGCGGCGCGGGGAGCCAGCGGTGGTTCCAGCGGGGAGGGCTCCCACCTCTCCCGTAGACTACCCGACCTACCCACCCATCCGCCGGCCCCGCGATGCCCTGCTCTGAGCTCCGCTGCTGCAGACCAAGCCCTCGGTGGGCGCCTCGGAGCCGGCCTGACCTTACCCGGACTTGGGAACCGCGCTTTCTAAAGCAAGGAGTGTCCCCTCTGCTCCCGAGCCAGCTGCACTCCCTCCGCCCTCAGCCAGCCCTCACCTGACGGGGGTCGAAGGCTATTCTCCAAAGACCACCTTAGATGAACCCGGAAGCACAGGTGAGAGGGAAAGACAGCCCTCACATGCCAGCCAGTCTCCCAGGCCTGTGAGCTGGAGGCCTTTTTTGAAAAGTATATTTCCCAGGTACCCAATTCTACAAAGCCTTTTAAAAAAAAAAAAAAAAAATAGGGTCTGACTATGTAGCACTGGCTGGCCTGGAACTAGCTATGTAGACCAGGCTGGCCTCGAATTCACAAAGAAAATTCACTCTGCCTCTGCCTGCAGAGTGCTGGGATTACAAGCATGTGCCACCACAAAACTAAAGCTAATAAGTTTTATAAACATTTTGCCCTCTTGGGGTTAAACTCTGGATTAAATATGCACTCTCCTCCATGACTCCTTACCCTTCACAAAACAGCAGAATGGTTATCAGTTAGATCCCTCGGGTCTGAGTTCTTCCTCTATGTAGCCATTTAGTTTTAGTAAAGTTACCTTGTCTCTTTTTGTTCCACTTACCTCATCTGTAAAATGGGATTAATAAATAGTACCTATTCCAAAGTGTTATATTAAATTAAAATATTCATCTGGTCTCAGTGGATTATAAGTGGTAGAAACTACTCAAATAGGTTTGGTACAAACAGGAAATTTATGTACTCATATAACAGAAAACTACAGCAATATAATTGACTCAGGTATTCAAAAGCTCAACAAAAAATTATCCAGACTTGATCTTCCTACCCCCACCTGTTCCTTACAGTGGTGTATTGGTTCTCAGCAGCTCTAGAACCCATCCTTACAGCCCACGCCTTCATTTCTTTCAGGAAAAGCCTAGGTTATAGCTACTTGTCTCTGACTAGTTCATGTGTCATCCCAAGCCAATCACTGAGGCAATTCCGGGAGTCAGTCCATCTATTCTAACCCACATGGATGGAGAGTGAGGAAGAGTAATTACAGGGCACTGTTTACTACTGGAAGATGAATGGACCCAGAGCTGTGCATGCTGAACATACAGTAGTGTTTCCCTCAAAGCCATTAAAGATACTCATTATGGTCCAAATGAGACAGACAACAGGGACAACCTATCCCTGGGGCACTGGGCAGGTGTTGAGCACTGTTGAAGCATTGTTAAAAATTTTGTTTTAAAAACACTATTAGTATTAATGATCAGCTTTAAATTCTTATTGTAAGTACGCCTAATATTCATGTTCTTGTCAATAAACAAAGATATTGGGAAATGGGGAAATTTAATTCTAATTAGCAGCTAATGGAGTCCACCTCGTGGCCCTGATTGCTTTGCCAGGTGGACTATCCTATATCAGCTCTAGATGTTTTGAACATTCGGTGGACACCTTGAGGAAACTACACAAAAATTGCAGCTGACTGCTCTGGCTCCACAAGCCACAAACTCAGGCAAGACTGTTTCGAATAGTTTTTACCAGACATTTTACTATCAGAAGCATAGATGAACTTGAATGACCCTATAACCATTTCCTCCTAGGAGCACTTCCCCTAGTGGCCTAGCAGAGGGATTGCTATGACTGGGGCTAGATAGGCAAGCCTGTGATCAATGTAAATGCAAGCCGCCATTTGTATGTTAGGTGCGCTATCATTGGTGCAAACACAAACTGACATTTATATGTAAAATGTGCTATGATTGGTCCAAATGCCCCTTTTCTGGTTCAATAAGTAGGTTGTTTGGTTTTGCTGAGTCATCTGAGAGACACCCTCCTGTGCTACCTCCTCTAGTTTTGTAACATTGAGCCCAATAAAAGGCTTCTGTCAAGTGATCATTTCTTGTCTACTGTCAATGGTCCTGACTGAGCTGGTAACATGTAGAAAGAAGCAGGAGAGACAATCAGAATGCCAGTGATAGCAGAGGCCATGGGGTAGCAGTGGCAGCAGCAATACCACCTCGGCAGTCAGCAGACCTAGCTATAAAAGTGACCAGGCAGCTAGTTGTGTGACACCTGAAGGAGACCCAGGTTGACAGTTTAAGAGAGTGGCCAGAGCAGGAATAACAGTTATGGTCAAAGGAAAAGGGACAGAAAGCCGAGGCTGAAGGACAGAAGACTGAGAAGAGAAACTGCAGGCCATGGTCACTGGAAGAGTTCTAGAGGGCTGTCAGGCCTTTATGGCTAAGAGTCTTAGACACCCTAGGCCCAGAAGCTATAACACTGGCTGCTGTCAATGGCTGGGGAAACCTGACTTCCTAAGGCCTACACAAGAGCTATGTACTTGTAGAGATGAAGGTCCCCATACCCTAGACTGGCAAGAACACTATAACACTGTAGGGCACCAACTGCTGCTGCTCCTGCCTGCCTGCTGCTTCACTCACTGCTGTCAAACACCAGTAGATACAAAAGCTACCAAAGACCAAAACTTGAAGGACTTACCCACGATTTCTATCTGGGTAAAGCCAAAGGACTCCATTCAGACAACTGGTAACACAAGGTGCCAGTACATCTGGAATATCCTTATATGTTTGAGGAACTTTCCATGCCACGAATCCTTCTCCACAACCCCACTTCAAAGACAGAACCTCTCTTTCTCAGGCACTTTTTAAAAATAATTTTATGTTTTATTTTATTTATTATTTTTATTTCATGCATATGAGTATATTACCTGCATGTATATAAGTGCACCTATGTTGTGTAATGCCCATAGAGGTCAGAAGAGGGCGTCAGATCCCCTGGAACTGGAGTTATGAATGGTTGTTAGCCATCATGTGGGTGGTGGGAATCAAACCCAGGTCCTCTACAAAAGCAGCCAGTGCTCTCAATTGTTGAGCCATCTCTCCACCCCCGTTTCCCAGGTACTTTTGCCCCAAAGATGATAGCACCACTTAAGACCCACCAATGAGCTGCATCACTGAAATTTTGTACGTGAAACTAAGTAACACAAGGAGCCAAGCATCACCCAGAATCCATTCAGGAGGAGAATACCAAGAGTGGAACTGGAGGCACCTCACTTGAAGTGAGACAGTGGCTAAAGTCTGTCATAACATAACTCCCCCCCCCCAAACTTAGTGGTTTAAAATAAATTCTTATTTCTCAGTTATTTGGCTTGACTAGACTCAGATAGACAGTTCTGTTGCATATGGTATCTGTGAGGCCCAGCTGTAGAAACTTGGCTGCAGCCACGTACATCTCCAGTAGGATAGCCTAGACTACCTTACAAATGGCAGCTTGGTTTCCCAGAGAGTGAAAATGAAGGCTTGTACCCAGGTTTGCCAGGTGTTCATGTCTACTACATTCTAAGACTGAAGTCCCAAAGCCAGCTACGACTCAAGACAATGGTAAGTCAACTTGACCTCTTGATACTAGAGTTGAGTATTTTCTAGGGCTACCATTACAAAATATCACAGTTTTGGTGTTTTAAAGAGCAAAAACTTCTCAGAATTGTGATGGGTAGAAGTTCAAGATCAAGGTGTCAGCAAGATTGTTGCCTTCTAAGAGAGCACACTTCCATGCTGCTCTGCACGTCTCCTGGTTTCTGGTGGCTGTGGGCAATCTGCTTCTGGGCGTATCACCTTGGTCTTGGCTGCCGTCTCCAGATGACCCTAACAACCTTCACTTTAGCTTCAGTACCTCTGCAAAGAATCTTATTTCCAAATAAGGTCAGACTTGGAGGTCCTGGGGATTGGACTCCAACATATCATGGTTTGGAAAACACAAGTCAACACATAACAAATATGCACACAGAAATAGCAGACAGCCATCTTTGCCAATAATTAAGCACAAAGTTGAACTCCCTAAGGAATACCTCTCTCACCTTCAGGAACATATTCCTAGGGTAGACAGGTTCAAATTAGGGCCTGGAACTTTATCCAGTCTCTGCAAGTAACACTATCAGCAGCACCCTTGGGTGGAGCCTTTTTTTTTCTCCCACCAAGAGAAACAGAAGAAAGACACAGAATGGATTCCCCCTCCTTAAAGGAATCAGAACTATTTGCACTTCATACTTGATATGCAACCATGCCAGTAGATCAGATGCCTAGAAAGCTCCAGATGACCATGGGAATTCCAGAACTCACTCAGACTTTACTTATGTGAGTTTTGTTTGTTGCCTTACTTTTTGTCTGACAATCTTTGTATAGTTGGACCCTTGTGCTTAGAGTTTAGAAATTCAGTCACAGGCAAGCATCCTGGAAAAAGAGCATCATGCCTCTTCATAAATGTCCATCGCCACCACTATCTGTCCTCCCACAGGCATGCCAACTTCCCCGACCCCTACCACCAACCCAGAAACTTTCATCCACTTCCAGCACACTAAGCAGTGCCAAACTACACAGGATTCAGGGAAATTAAGAAAAAAAACAAAGGACAGTACCTCAAATCACATGCTTTAAGGAAAGGCTCAATCAGGGGAGGCAGGCAGAGAGAAGGTGTGAAAAAGGCCCCCATTCTGCAGCCTCCTTTTCTTGTCAGGACCTAAATGCCACATGGGAAATAGGCACATGGAATAAAGTACCTTCTAATGTTACCCTACCAGGCTGAAGTGTGCCCAGCTGTGCATCATGTACCAGTTTCACTCCAGAGATCTTTTCTGAGTCCTGAGCCATCCAAGATGTGCTGGGTCGTTGATGACAACAGTACAGGGGAGGCAACCTCAGTCCAGCTGACTGCCCCATACCTGGGCACATAGAAAACCTTGAACCTCCTTGTCTCCAGTGGAAAAAAAAACAAATCTGGTCAGTGGGGTCGGGGGGGGCGGGTATCAGGGGAGAGGGTGCCTGCATGTGTCAGCATCCTGACCATGCCCACACTGGGCGCCATGGTAATCAGACTTGCTGACCACAACTTCTTGTGTCATCAACGAGTAAACAGGATGAACTGATGACTGTCTCCATAGGAAGATGCCACACATCATCTAAACAGGAAAGGAAGTACTCAGCCTACACAAAAGCTGCCTTCACTCCTCCATGATTCAGGGGAGGAGGAGGGTTGAGAGCAGGACAGTAACAAATAGAGACAATGAAGGCAGAGAGGCAAAGGAGATGAAGTAAAGAAAGCCAGAAGCGTCCGGGTTGGGCCATATCAAGGTCTTTGAATGCTGTGATTCTACCAACTGTTCTGTGCCTTCAGGCGGCCCTACCTACCAAGCTCCTCTGCCTGTCACTGGTCACTTCAGACCCTGACACTGGGTCTCTATGTCTGACCTCCTGTCCTAACCCTGTCCCTTATCTCCTAGAGACTTCACATGTCCTCCACCTGACCAGGCCTTGTTCAGAGTACAGTTCATCCTAGAAATCCTCAGGGATTAAATCACCCCCCTCCCAAACCCCTTCTTTTTGTACCAAAAAAAACCCTCTGGAGTGTCTCCAACCAGACTTATTCCAGAGTGCTGGGTTTACTTCAGCCCCTTTGGGGTGGCTCCTGAATCTGCTAACATTTTAGGTTACATGATCTCTCCATTTTCATATAGGTGCACTGAACCCATTGTCATCTACCGAAGGCCACCAGCAAATCAAGAGCAAATTTCACCTCCTGAGCCTTAGCCCCTCAAACTCCCATCTGCTCTCCTGGCCCACATCTGACTGCACTTTCCTGGCTTGCCTCGCCTGGTCTTGGTGGTAATCCTGCCTTGATGGTACCCCCCAGGACTGGTGACTCAGGCCGGAGGATGGGACTGTCAACTTCCTGGGAGGATCACTTAGCCATAAACAGACCAGGCTCTGAGTCACTGGGAGGACTCAGTGATCTGGAGATCTGGGAGAGGCTGATGCTTTTATTTCAGCTGAGAAGGAAAATGCTCTGCACATATAACAGCCAGTTCATTGCCTTCTCCCAACAAAACTGAAAGCAGAAATTGAGCCATGTGAAAGGGTAGGCCAGGCCTCATGAAGGTCATTGTGGCTATCCTGGAAGGAGGTCTTTCAAGCACTGTGGGCAGGAGCGAAGACCAAGACGCAAAACTCTATCTTCAAATTCAGTCTCAAAAAGATACATAGATAAATTTGAAAAAGGTTGCTTGCCTTGAAAAATATTCTTTTTTTATTCAAAATATTCTTTCATTAAAAAGATTAAGAGTTCTTTTAAATGGCACTCCATTCCCTGGGTACATCTGTAGTTCTGTCACTAGTTAGGAGAGAAGGTCCACAGAGCTCAGAGCCCTGGGACTTCTGCCTGGGAGGACAGCAGCTGAGATACGTTGTGGCTTACCGTATGCCCTTGGCACCTTCCCCTCATTGTTTCTCAACTTTCAGAATCACTGGAGAACTTATGAGGAACTCAGAAAACCAGGCCTCACATACACATACCCCCAAGGTTTCTGATTAAATAGGCCCATACTCGGCATTTCTGACTTCCCAGGTGTTGCTGGTGCTGCTAGATCATGAGCTCACTATGAGAACCACAAGAGGAGGTGGGGTAGCCTCAAACATCTATGCTCTCTTCATCCATACTCCACAGAAACCTCAGGCCACAAGGCTCCCCAGGCCACTGTCCTGCCTGCCTACTGCCCTCCTGGGGATTATCGTTCCACCTCCACTAGTGACTTTTTATTCTCTTGAGTGTCCTCACACCTCTAACACCCCCTGCGGCTGGTGACCTGGTGAAAACAGAAGCCACCACCTACACGTCAGCACATCTCCTGACTCACCATGTCAGACCCAGAGTCTCTCCTGGAAGGGATAGGAGGTGTCCTGCTCCCCCAAAGGCCCCTCGTGCCACTTATGTCCCTCCTTCCTTTCTTGTGTCTTCCATCACTCCTTCTCTAGCAAACCACGCCATATGCACAAAATGCTTTCCAATCTTTCTCAAGTTAAAATAATGAAGAGTAGAAGTGTACTCAGTAGTAGAGCCCCTGCCTAACATGCACAGGGCCTTCAGTTTGATTCCCAAAGTCAAACAAAGTAAATCAATTGTAAAAATCTCCCTGTCTGCCTCCAGCAGCCACACCACTCAGTACACAGCAGAACTTCTTCAGTGTTGTGAGGGGTTCCCACCACCTGTCCCTCCCTTCCCAACCCACTTCAATCTGGCTTTCTTGGGAAGCACTCTAATGAACTCAAATACTCCAGTGTTTCTCACTGCTCTCAATTGCTCAGAAATGTTGAGTACAGTGACTAGTGCCTCCCACAGGACAGGCTTTCTGCTTGTCACTAGCTTGACCCTTGTTTTGTGACACTATTCCTGGGGAGATGTGAACAAATGTCTACTTATTCCAGATAAGGAACTCATGACAGACCAAAGACCAGCTTGGTGAACCAACGAGTTTTATTGGGGTTACTTATAGGAATATGGGTGAGGAGTTGTTTACAGGAACAGAAATGACTCCAAAACAGCCGCGTCACCAAAGCCCACCCCAGCATGGTGACAGCTCACAATGAATGACAGGAAACCTGGAGTTTACTGCGCACTCTGTAGGCAGCTCAACAGTTGGAGAGGTAGCTCAGATACCTTTTCTAGATGGCGTAGGTGGTCCAAGCCTCTTCTGTGTAGCTCAGCTTGTCTGAGCGTCTTCTACACAGCTTGGTTTGTCTGAGAGTGTCCCTCAGCAGTCCTTGATGTTTATATATGCTCAGAGAGGGAGGGACCCAGTGAATTTTGTCAGTTTCAAGGACTTCCTGAAGCTATTGAGCTATTTATTTATTCATTTATTTATTCATTTGTGTGTGTGTGTGTGTGTGTGTGTGTGTGTGTGTGCGCGCGTGTGCCTGCGCCTGCCACATTACTCGTGTGAAGGTCAGAAGACAACTTCAGCGAGTCAATTCCCTCCTATCATGTGAGGTGTAGGGATAGAACTCAGGTCATAAGGCTTGATGACAAAGTACCCTTACCCACTGAGCCATCTCACGGGTTTATGATATACATTTTTCAATAGTGTGATACATTTGTTTAAGTTGATGAACCTATATTGATTCATTGTTATTAACTAAAGTCTATAGTTTACATTAGAGTTGTATGTTTTATGGGTTTTGACAAATGTGTACTAACATATATTCACCACTGTAGTATAACAAAGAATAACGGTTTTACTGCCCTAAAAATCCTTCATGGCACACCCATTTCTGTTTCCCTCCTCAAGAGCCCTTGGAAATCAGTGATCACTTCACTGTTTCAATCATTTTGGCTCTTCCAGAATGTCATGAGGTCTGAATCATGCAGTATGTTGCCTTTCCAGAATGGCTTCTTGCATTTAGCCTTAAATAATTATATAGTCCTTAAATAGTCATGAAATGTCCAGATATGCCAATGTCTGGTCACCCTACCAAGACCCTGTGCTTTTGGTAAACTTGTAGTTTGTTTTTCATTTTGAAATAGGGTCTCACTGTGTGGACTAGACTGGCCTTGAACTCATGGAGATCTGTCACTCTCTGCCTCCTGAGTGCTGGGTGCAAAGGCATGTGCCACCACGCCTGGCTCTTACTGTACTTTTTAATAGTTTTAAAATTATTTTCTACACTTGAATACAAATTTCCTGAGGTGCTCAGGGGTTGTCCTGTATCCTCATATGAATACGGAAGGAAATTTGAGCTGGAGGAAAGAAGGGTCAAATGTGTTCATCTGCTCCACTACTTAGTAAAACAGGTGGAAAATTCATCAGCTAAGCGGGGAGAGGACTCAAGGGAATGGTGCTGGAAATTCAGGCAACAACCACAGATGTATCTGGCATGCATGGGGTGAAGGCCGTGGGTGTATAATGAGCGACATGTTACTTCCTTGTCAGAGACTGGGTTTGTATTAACATCCTGAAGATTTCTTTCTCTTTGATTCTTTTCCTCTTTTGTTAAGGTGTCATTTATAGCTAATAATGCTTGCTCTTTTCACTATGCAGTTCTGCAATGCTTGACATACCACACAGTTGGGCTAATACCCATACAATCAATGTACAAGAAAGTTTTATCACCCTAAAAGAGTCCCTTTGTCCCTTCACAACCATTTTTCCCCTTTCCTCTCTGGAAGTCACAGGTCTGTTTTCCGTCCCTGTATTTTTAGTTCTTCGAAAATAAATGGTGCCATACAGTATGATACCTTTGACATCTGGTCTCTTTCAGTTAGCATGATGCATCTGCAGTCATCCATGTTGGTATGTGTATTAGCGGTTCTTACCCCCCACCTTTTTTTAGAAGTGCTGAGATTAGAACTCAGAGCCTTGTGTGTGTTGGACTAATGTTCTATGACTGAGCTACATCTCCAACCCTTGTTAATACCTTTTGATTACGGAGTAGTATTTCATTTTCCGGATATATTATAGTTCACTCATTCACAGTTGAGGACTATTTAGATTGTTTCTCATTTCAGAAGATTATGAATGAAACTGTTATAACTATTTGCATATAGATTTATGTGAGGACAGTAAGGTCTTTTGCTGTTGTTTTGGGGGGACGGGGTCTGGATGCCCAAGCAGCATGGGAGATGTATTTTAGCCTCACTATAAATTAAGAGTAAAGGGCTTTAACGTAACATGATATTGAGAAGGGCATTTCCATCTATAGCGCTCTGGAACGGGAAGGGATCTAACTTTAGGTTTGCATGACTGGCTTCACGTTTTGACTTTTATGCTAGCAATGGTCAGGTTAGACTCTTTGGAGGTGTAGGTTTTCTTCCCAGGTTCTTGGGGCAAGGGTAGTGTCAGGCTTGGAAGACATTGAGAATGGACCCTTTCTTCATCTGCAGTTTTAGACCCCACCTCCTGGCAACACTGGAGGGGAGCACCAGCATTGTCCCTTCTCAAGATTTAAAATACCACATGAAAGGGAGAAGGGGAGGTAGCTGGGCTTTGTTGAGGCAACGTAGGGACAGGTACTTCCTGGGTGAAGACAGGACACTCTAAGCTGTCCAAAACAGTTCATACGATTGTCCCTCCCATAAGAGTTATTCCATCTGGGCCTGTTGATCACAGACCACCTCTCAGGAAAATGGATTGACCTGAAGCCATGCTAAGACAGTGAGAGAAATGATCATCCCCTTACTGAGATACTGCCCAGAAGACCCTCTGTTCTAGCTTCATTCTGTCTCTGTGATAAAACTGCCTGACCAAAAGAAATTTAAACTGAAGGGTTTATTCAGTTTATACTTCCAGTCGTAGTCCGTCATTGAGGGAAGCTGGGACAGAACTCAAGTAGGAACTTGAAGCAGAAACCATGGAGGAATGGTACTTGCTGGCTCATTCTTAGGTCCATGATTTGCTAACTTTCTTTTTTGATTTATTCGTTGATGGGGGCACTCACATGCCATAGCACACACCTGAAAGTCCGAAAACAACTTGCAGTGTCTGGTTCTCTTCTTCCACCATGTGTGTCTCCAGAATTGAACTGAAGTTGAACTCAGTTGTTCAGACTTGGTGATAAGCACCTTTACACACTGAGTCATCTCTCAAGCCCCTTAGCTAGCTAGCTTTCTTATAAAGCCCAGGACCACCTGCCCAGGAAATGGTGCCACCCACAGTGAGCTAGACCCTTCTACACTAGTTAAGGCAATCAAGAGAATCTCTTACAAACAAGTTCACAAGCCAACCTGATAGACAATTACTTAACTAAGATTTTTTCTCTCCAGGTGATGCTAGCCTCTGTCGAGTTGGCAGCCTCCCTTGATGCCATTGCTTATAGATCTTCACTGTTAAGCCTGCCTCCTTTTCTGAGTTCTTACTCAAAACAGAACTTTTCCCTTTTCCTATCTCTTTAAATACCAGCCAAGATCCTATGTATGCTTTCCCGACACTCTGGACTTTTCACTGTTTCTTTACTTTCCTACAGCTGCTGCAGTCCCCCATTGCTTGCCCTAGCTCAAAAAGCTACAGCTATCTCTTACCTATTTCCCTCCTCCCAGTAGCCTTCCTTCTTTTTTTAATATTTTATTTATTATTTTTATTTTATGTGTATGTGTGCATTGCCTGCATGCAGGCGAGTGCACCTGTGTTGTGCAATGCCCACAGAGAACAGAAGAGGCTGTTGGATCCCCTGGAACTGGAGTTACGGATATTT